GTTTACTGGCTGTGCCAATATTCTAGTACCAACTAATGTTTAGATACCATTAGAAATGGTAAACTAGGGACAACTGTAATTCTGAGAAATGATTGCATCACCAGGTGGTGAGTCCTGCATGGTATAGATTGTGTGCAAGTATACCTGGACTCCAAAGGCTGCTTTACACGGCTGAATCGTCAGACAGAACAGTGACAAAGTGCAGTGTTGAGAGAGGAGGCAAACTCCAAATCCTGACGTTGCTTTTAGGTGAGTCTGCTACTACTTAAGCCATACAGATGAGGTTTAGGTTTGGTTTTTAAGTAACAACAATATCCTTTTGGTTCCTGTAGTTTGTGGTCATATTTATTACTGCTGCAAGGACAAGGACCAGAGCCCAGCAGAGAAGTATTGATTTGGGTGTTGGTGTACATTTGTGGCTATCAGTTTCTTGGTTGGATTTCCCAGAATCTACGGCTATTTTTTCCGCTTCCCATCAGTTTTTTATTTTTTTCCAGAGCTGAGTTGGTCGTAGGATATATTGGAGGTCTTAAAATGTTTCAGCCTGGTGCTGAAGTTGGAAAAATAAACTTCTTTAAGGTCCAGTACCACTTAAACATATAACTGTTCTTTTCATGTGGGGACTGCAACAGGCTCGGAAACCTTTTTGGTGCAGGCACGTGTGAAACCTTGACTCTCAACAGCTGTATTTATGTTGAGCAATGCCTCTGAATTTCATCTGGAGGTGATGTTTTTTTTTTAAGCCAAGAACACACTAGAAGGCTTTTAAATTCCCAGCCAACTGTGGAAAGAGTCAGCAGTGCACATTTGGGTTGACAACAGCACGAGTGTTGAGATAACCAAGTCAAAAGAAATCACATTAAGACTAGTAATTATGTTTTGGCTTCAAAACAGCTACCTGATGGGTATAAGCTTTAGGGATGGTACGAGAACCGATACTTCGGTACCAAGTCGATGCCAAAGTTCTGAAGACGTGGCTTTGCAGTATTTACACCATATTAATCTAGCAGCAGCAGGCCTCCAGTTGTTACACTCAAAGTTCCTCCATGCACGCTTCATGTTTAAATAGGAGCCCTTTTATAACGTATGTGAAACCACTTGAGCCAGCAGTAAAAGGCACATCAGATATTTCAAAATTCCTCTATTACTCCTGCTGTTGCATATTCATCTAAAGAAAAGGAAATCTTGTAGTGCACCAGATAAATGATTACAAAGATGTTTCTTTATAGATTCCTTTAGACACACTTTTTAATTTCTAATAATTTGTTTTACTTGATCTTTTCTTTACTTTGTATATAATATGTCTTTCTGTAATAAAAGGTACCCTTTTGAATATCTTCTTATCTGACTTACACAGATTTGTATTATTTACAGTGCCCTGTTGTTTTGCTATCCCTGTCCCTTACCCTGTTTTGCATTCTGCCACAGTCCATATACAAATAAAAAAACATACTAACCAGTGATTTGAAATGAAACTGAGCAGGCAGTTAGATAAGCAGGCTAGATAATCCTGTTTTCCTTTACCGTAATGTAGGCTTTCTCTGCACGTCTTCATCACCTGTAGCAGCTTGTTTTGCTCCCTGGATTGTGAAAGGAAAACAACTATATATCATCCGCCATATACTTAAAAAAAAAAAACAGATTGTCAGGCTGCAAAGATTTGAGATCAGGGTTGTTTTATTCTTGCATTGTTATTTGCTACAGCTTTTAGGGCCAATTTTTAATCTATCTCTGAACTTTTTTTCAGTTTATCTGTTAGCAGACACTGATAAGTTATGAAACCAGATGCAGAACAAATGTCTCATTTGTCTTGTAAGGTTTGCATTTTTCACATCATGAATCAAATGAAACAACCTGCTAAGATTATATTTGATTTAAATAAGAAATGATTTGTTTCACAAAGCTGGTTCAGGTTAGGGTTAGAATCTTTTACTCAGTTATCTAAAATGGGCTTGGTATGTGTGTTTGTGTGTGTCTGTTTTGCATTTAGGTCATTTCATTGCAGTTATGGGCTTGGCTGTACTTGACAGTATTGTTTTATCAAGCTACCAAGTTGTTTGAGGCCTGTCCCAGCCTGTCTCAAGGGAAACCAGACAAACTGGGACGGTTAAACACAAAAACAACACAGAATCCCATACACATTTGAGGACCTGAACACTGATCAAGGCCAGGTCTCATAACAAAATGATTGCAACATCCTTTTCTGCGTTAATCAGTCATGTTGATTTTGTGTTTGTAATGTTTGCAGAGGGAACAACAGTCACATAATGTACTGAGCCTTGACCTTGCGTCCTCCCCACCTATTTGTTTTTGCAGTTAACCTAATTTTGTTCACTGTGCCAGTCTGAAACACTTTATATCTTGTTCTTGTCCCTTTGTATCCCCGTTATTGTGCTAGTATTGAAGTGTTACTAATGTGGCTCTGTTGAGTCCATCCTTATGCAATGAATGCATTGCAAGTATTAGACCATATGATATTTTATACCATGGTCTATAAGACATCAGAAAATTGTGAAAAATCCCTGTCTTAATTTCATAAATTGCTTGTTGTCAGACCAACAGTCCAGAACCCAAAGATATTCAGATTATTGTCACATAAGACAAAAAAGCAGCATATCCTCATAATTGAGCTGGAACCAATTCATGTTGGCATTTTTGTAAGACAAAAATTACTAAATGCTTAATCAGCTATGAAAGTAGTTGCAGATTATGTATTAATAGTTTCAGGTACATCATTGGTTTTTGTTTCACCTTTTAGTGAAAGATATGCCGGCAGTAGAAATTAGGGATTCACCGAATATTCGGCCACCGAAAATTTCCGGCTGAAAATGGCCCAAATGCGCATTTTTCGGTTTCGGAAATACTTTTATCACCAAAACAACACGGCCAAAACAGAAAGTTGTGATGACGCAAACAAAAACCGTCTGAACATAAAAACCGCAGACAAAAACATGTCTGCGTTGTGGACATATTTCAATATATCTGAGAAAGAC